TTAAATAATGGAGTATTTGTATTGAATGATAATTTAAGGGTGTCATTTACGCTTATATTTATTTATAGTGGATTTGTCCCTATCCTATTTAGTAGGGGTGTTCACGGTATGGTTTGGTTTAGATTTTAATATTTTTTAAATTAATTCAATTTAATCAGTTAATAAAATTTTTAAACCAATCTGATTCATTATTATATGATAACCAAACCAATCTAACTTAAATCTAATCAGTGTGATTCGGTTGGATTGATTGGTTTTTAATATTATTAAATATATAAAATAATGTAAAAATACTTTAACATCAAATAGAAAACATAACTATAAAACACATTAACATGCAAATTAATAAAAAAAATAAAAAATACAAATTATAAACGAGTTCTTATATTAATTTATATTTGTAAAAATTGAAAAGATCTAAAAATTCTTCTTGGTTATATCACTAAAGGCACCAAGAACAATAAAAGAAGACTTCAAGTTTCTAGCACAGCATAAATAATTATTAAAGGTTAAAATTAGTTTTTTTTTTTCTTAATGCACTAATAATTTAATCCAATCTTCTAATCTTGTTAAAAGTGAATGAAATTTAACATGAATATCACTAAAATTGATTAGAAGCATTCATAATCAAAATTTAAAACTTCTAAACTAAATATCCAAGAATAAAGAATATTAAGACTAATTTTATTATATAATTTTAAGACTTTTAGAATGATACTTATTTAAAACTTAGTTAGGAGAATCATAAGATTATTTTAAGAATAAACTAAAAATTTAGAGTTCTAAGAGTAAAGGCGTAAACCAATTTTGAGGAGATAGAGTTGCAAGTGAATTAGAAATTTAGAATTAAAATTAGAGTGCATGATTAAAATGGAAAAAATAACTTAGGGAGTATGGAGATGTTTTATTTTTTTTTTTTAATTAAGTTAATGGAGTTATTATCTTGTAAAATAAGAAAAAAAAATTAAAATACTACCAAAAATATATTATATTATTTAATTAAATTATCTTGTAATCGGATTTTATTTCGTAATCAGACAGTTTGGACGGTTTAAAGGTAAAACCACAAATTAAACCAATTATATCAATTTTAAAATTTTATAATTTAAACCAACCCAATTTTATATCAGTTTGGATCGATTTTTAATTAAATTAGATCAGTTAGTATCTGATCAATCAGATTGGATCAGATATGAACATCCCTACTATTTAGAGGGCAAATTTGAGGGTCCTGCCTTCTTTTAATCTAGTCATAAAATCTAAATAGAAAAAGGAACTGCCAACAAATATACAAAGCGGAAAAACTCTAGAAGGCAGATTGTTAATCTTACTAACCAAATCTTCTTTGTTTTCCATCTCAATCCAGAATTTTTTTCAGTAATTCCTAAAAAAATAAAAAAAAATGAATTATATATAAAGAATTAGATAAAGAGTACCATTATTAAACTAGAAAAATTGGTAGTAGAAATCATATACCCAGAACCCATATTCTCCAATTAATTATTCACTAAAAAAAGGAAATTTATTTAAGAATTTTAGAAAACATAAAATCAAGTGAAAATAATTAAATAAAAAAATGAAGTATTTACCTTTGCAAATAGGACTAACTTGATAGTAGATTCAATGGATTACAAAATAGTTATTGGACAAAAAAAAAAAAAGAAATATGTTAGGGGAAAAAAAGTTCAGAGGAAACAATCAAGAGAAAAAAAAATTTTCATCATTGTTAATTTCAGAATAAATTAATAGACTATAAATAGCTGAGAGTAAATTTAAAAGGGCAAAATCCTGACAATTAAAAAAATCAATGATAATGAAGTGAATAAGGAGAGGAGAAGAATCAAATATATATATTTTTCTTTATATCATGAATTGCATATGAAAAATGAGAAAAAAGTTTAGAAAAAATTGTAGTTGTCATAAATAATTGTTATACATAGTATATATGCACACTAAAGGGAGGAAATGAAAGATGCCAAGGGAAGAAGTTTAGGTTTTTAAAATAGTTAATGTTGTTATAATATATACCGAAGGCAGAAGATTAAAGAGGCTAGGAGGAAAAATGGCCTCAATTTTTAAGATACTTAATGTTAATTAATGATAAAATTTATAATAAAGGGAGAAGATGAAGATAGCAAAAGAAGAAAAAAAAAAATAAGGGAAGAAGATGGAGGCTAGAAGTTAGGAGGTGAAAGTGGTTAAATGGGAGAAAGGTTTTAGTTTTTAAGATAGTTAATGTTGATAAAATTTAAATTAAAGGCTGAGGGGAGGAGATGGAAGTTAGAAGATAGAATGTTTAGGTTTTTAGATACTTAAATGTAGAAAATATTAATTGGGATTTAGTGAAGAAAATGTTATTAGAATTTACTGTGAAAAAATTATAAAATAATAAAGAGAAAGATATATAGATTGCATTTTATATTATACTAGTTTTTTTTTTTTTCTTTCCTCGTGCATTGCATGGGACATTCTTCAATTCTTCATATTAGAGTTTAGGTTCCATATTATGTTTTATCAACTTTTAAATTTTGTAAGGATTTTTTTAGTAAAAAAATTATAATTGAAGTGGCCCCTTGAAAAAAATTATAATTTAATAACGCTAGAAATTTACAAGGATTTTAGTACAAAATCTTTAAAAGAAACCAATAATAAAAAAAACGTAGGGAGTTTAAATAGTTGACATTAACTCTTCATTTTCTTTTTGTTGGATTTTTTCTTTGTTTTGAATATTTTAATGGCTTTACTTCTTCATCTACCAAGAAAAATTGATGCATATGGTAATGTGAAAGGAAGCATTATTTACAAGGCCTTTTTTAGATCTTTTCATATATTAAGAGAAATTAATTAATGTGTTGCACACAAAAAAAAAAAAAAAAGGGGCTAGATGAACCCAGCTCTTCACCTATATTAAGGTCTTAGTTTTTATTATGTTTTATATAAATACATACCTTAATTAATACATAGATTAGCATTTTTTTATATATTTTAAACGGCCTTACCTTTTCATCTACTTGAAGAAATTAATGCTTATGGTAATGCAAAGGAAAACACTATTTAGATAGCTTTGCCTTTTCATATATTAAGAGAAATTAATTAGTATGCTGCACCAAAAAAAAAAAAGGAAAGTTAAATGAACCAATCTCTTTACCTATATTATAATTTTTAGTTTTTATTGTATTTTATGTAAATACATATCCTAATTAATACGGAGGGTACATTTTGAAAACAATGATAAGAAATAAATAAATGTAATATAATATATAATATTTTACGTAAATACATATCTTATTTAATAAACAAATATATATATGTAGATATAGATACTAAAAATTATTTGATAATTCTATAATTTAAACAGAAATAAAAGAAAATAATCTCTAATTGATGCTTGATATAGCATTTTATGGAATAGATAGAAAGATAGATTGAAGCCTATGCACATCTAAAGATTAATTAAGCAAACCGTAGTTACATGCTTTTGATTCCGTCCACTAAAACATGCTGTCCGTGGGATCAAAGAGATAGCATAGACCCGTGTGTGCAATTCAAGGATTTAATTGGATGGTGACACCCCATCTAAGTACCTGGGAAAACCAATAAATGATGAAAATTGTAATATGGTAGCATCCTCATTAACTGTAGAGTGAAAGTGGTCCAAATGGAAGATGCCTCTTCTCAACAATTAATACCCCTAAACAGGTTTACAGAAGGGCAACAGAATGCTTTCTCAAAAAAAATAAAAAATAAAAAAAATAAAAATTTCCCCCGCTGTTTGTTCGAGAAAGTCTACGATATCCCGAGTATATCACGTGGGATGTATCCCAAACCAATAACATTCTGATACGTTCTAGATTGTGGGACCATAAAACACCTAAAACTAACACCGTTTGTTTGCCTTCCTTCTTCATTTCTTCGGGGCCGTTTTATTTTTTTATTTTTTTTCCTACTTTTACCTGCTACCCTTGAAATGTTGAATAACTTTTTTTTTTCTTTGTATAGTTCTAATAAAGTGATTTATGAGATTTTTCTTATTTTTTGTAATCATTAAATTTTTTTCTCTGTAAATCTTTTATCACCAAAATTAAATTTTTTTTACCTTAGATACTATTGTCATCAATAAAACAAAAGAAATTCACTTTGAAATTCAATTGGGGAATGTGAAGGGAGGCTGAGACTTTGGAGGTATATTATCAAAAAAGAGCAGTGCTAGGGGCACTCCCCTCTTGCACTCTCCCGCCAGCACTTCCACTCTCATTGGGCCAGGTAAGCTCGTTTTAAGACTTTGAAATGCAACCCTTTAAACCAAAATAACGTGGCCAATAAAAGTGAAAGTGTTGGTCGGAGAGTGCCGGAGGCGAGTGTCCCAGCACTGCTCTATCAAAAAATCATGAATTTAAATGCTTTCGTAATCTGTAAAACAAGTTTTGATGTGCTCACAATGTCTTTGAACACCAGATCATAGCGGCTGTCATCTACCTCTTTTATCACTTCTCCAAAACCCATCCATTTTTGCTTTCCCCAAATTCCACAGTCAATATTGATGCTAATCATCACAAGGTGTTTTAAGAGCAATCCCTCTTGTATCCTTGAGAGAGGAAAAGAGCGGAGAATGAAAAGGAAAGGAAATGCCGATAGGAGAAGGAAGAGACAAGGCGAAAGAAAGGAAAAATGATGACAGGAAATGGTGTTAGTTTTAGGTGTTTCATGGTTACTCAACCTTTCAAGAGTAGCAAGCAAACGCAGCAAAGAAAATAAAAAAATAAGAAACACAGAGGAAGCAATCGAAACGGCCCAAAGAAAGGAAGAAGGAAGGCAAAGAAACGGTGATCGTTTTAGGTATTTTATGGCCACACATCTAAAACGTGTTAGAATATTATTGGTTCGGGATACATCCCACGTGGTATACTCAGGATATTGTAGACTTTCTTTTGTTTGTCCTCTTTTCTCTGCCACATACATTCATGTGCAACATATTTAATTGTTCCACAGATAGTTATGTATCGTTTCTCAACCAAAATAATAATAATA